TAGGGAAACTGAAAATGTTGCACTGCCGCAGCACTCATTTCCCAGCACTTAAGGATACAGAAGTGAGAGGGTGGCCACTAATCCAGGCTGTTCCCATGCTTGGCACTTCAGCTCATTGAAGGAGCAGTAAATATCCATGAGAAAAAACAAGCAGGCATAAAATCTACTCACTTATCCCTTGCTGCAATTAATTATGATGCAAATATTATTTTTCTTTTACTTTTTTATCAAGAAACCCCCTCAAATCTCAAAAGCTATGAATTTTATCAATGCAATTGTCATGAATTTTATCAATCCAATTGCCTGACCACGCTGTAACTCTCTCTGTCATTTCTAAACTGCTCTTAAAACAAATGAACAACAAAATTCTCTGTAATTGGTGTCTACAGAAATGTTCACTTGTCCCACGTGCTTAGTGATGTTTTGTTAAAAAGTCAGACAAATAGGAGTCTAGAAGATGTCGGAATATGCATTTGGAACTTTTCTACAATGTTCATGGTAGATCCAAGTGTCTGTACATGCAATTAGAAGGTTTTTCAGTGCATGCTATTTAATCCAGTTGACTTCCTCCTGATACCTGTTATATAAATCCGCATTTAGCAATATAGCAGCATAATTTGCTGTGTGGTGCTCCTGTGATAAGAGGGTTTTTTTAATAACATCATTATGGACGATAATAATTCCTAGAGCGATGCAGAGATATTGATCCACTGATCTAAAAAAAAGAAAAAGCATTTTGCAAAGCTAGAGGACCACCGCTGTCTTTACTTTAAGGAACAATATAATGGAGAGCTGATGAGAGATCAACTCACCTACGGTCACCCAGCACATCAGTGGCACAGCTGCAAATGAAACGTGGGTGTTTCTGGCTATTTTTGCATGCTCTAGCTATCATCCCACGGCTGTCTGCATTCGCATCTGCGCTCCTGCAGACGTTACGCAGCGTGAGGAGTCAGGAGGTCCGAAAGTTTCCTTAAGCCGTTCACAATACGTGATTTAAAAAAATCTTAATCATCTGAGGCAGTTCACTTCTGCTTTTTCATGATAATGAAGCTTAGCCCATGATATCACAATCATGAATTTTTGTAAAGCATACTTAGCTCTTATGAAAAAGTGCTGGATTAAACAACCCTGCAGGCTGAATCCTTCGCTTTGAATAATGAATTTAGTACAGGCTGTGGCAAGCTGCTTTAGATAGGCCCATGAACCCTGCGAAAGTGAAGGCCAGCCTCTATGTCTGTTGAGTCTTCGGCTTCTTTATCTCTATAGCCAACAGGGTATTTTTATTTCTGAATGTTTTTCACAGTTGAGAATTACTCACAGGAACTGTCTCAGAGCCTTCAGAGGGTAATGCCTTTGGTTGCTGCCTGTTTCTTGCAGCTGGCCAAAATATAACCAGTTGCAGATATAAACAACAATCATATCTTAGATGCAGGAGCAAACAACAGCGGGAAAAAAATGACTTAAGGAAAAATTCAAAATTTGTTTAAAATGGACTACTTCATCGCTGGGACTTTGCCTGATTACTTTTAGTCTTTCTATCACTATTTTATCTTAGTCTGGTTGTAGAGATGCGTTTCAAACAGCTGACAATAGGAATTTGGAGGGGAAACGCTGACGGTCTGTTATCAGTAGTGACGGCAACGGGCGCGACTTTAATAAAGTTCTGTCGACTCCTGTCTAGAAACTACAATAGAAACAACCCGTTCAGCCTCTCTCCCTCTCTCTCTTTATCTTAGCCCTTATATCATGCTCATCCCCGAGCGTTACATTTTCCCTTGCTGCCGCAGGGAGGGATTTCTTCCTTGCTGTTGGAGCCACGTGGTACGTTGCAACCCGAGATCCAGCCTACGGATTTGCAGTAGCCCGTTCCTGTACTAGCAGCACAGTCACTGTTGCAGTGGAGACACGGTCGAAAAGTTAACTGAGCGCTTTTGTTCTTTATTAAGAAAAAACAGCAGCATAAGCCAAAATTGTCTTATCAAGCAGAGTAACCAGGAGCTTGCAACTATCTGCTGGTATTAAAGATTTTTTTCCCCGAATCCTTTTACAAAGCTCCAAAGTTGGCACAAACAGCAATGACTAAATTTCTCAAGCTCTTTTCTTGGGAGATGCCATGTTATGCAATTGGAAAGCGATGCCAAATGGAGTTTATTGGACCATATTTCCATCGCGCTGCTGGGAGCACTGTGAGTTCCTGGAGGCTCTGGCATCGTGAGGACAGTGTTTTCCTAACAAAGTGCCTATTTTTCATTGCCCCTTCTGTGTCCAGGAGGGAAGCACATCCGGAGGGGTGCTGCGAAAACACACACTGTTTGTGGCAGAGGGAAGTAGCATCTTGGAAACAGTACCGTGAATTAAAATCCACTAAGTGTCGGCACTTGTTACACCAATTTAACTGTATGCATTCCCCTTCTTGCTTTCATGAAACAGCTTTTGACCCTGTGCTTTTTCAGCCAGGATCCCGCCACTGCAAATCTCCCTTAGCGTTTTTCATTTCAACTCTGTGATACCGACCATTTTCCCAGCACTTTGCCTCCTCTCATGGTGCGGTGGTTTTGTGAAGCTGATAAACATCTGCCTGAAAACCTGGCTGGCACAGCTGAACTCATTTTCAGGTGTGAACACGGGTGTGTAGAAAGCAATTCGAGCTTAACAAGGCATGATGCATGAGGGCATGATGGAGTATCAGTCGTGATTGGGACCAAAATAAACCCGAGTGGCAGCGAGAATGCGGCTCTGCTAAGGCTACCGGAGCATGACCTACCTAGACCGAGATCTTCGGCCTCTAGCGGGAAAGAGCAGCACGTTAACCTGAGACTCTGCCGTCAGGCAGATGGCACTGCTCTGCCTGGGATGTGTGTGATGTGGCTTAAAAATCTCAGCTTCTGACTATTGTGAGATTGCTATTTACTGCAGAACTAAACTATCCCACCCTCTTACCCTACTGGATTTCAAAATTACCTTTTTCTATGCTTGCAGGATAGCCTTGTCTAGGGAATAAAAGTAAGTATGCAGTGGGATTGCTAAGGCTCCCAGAAAAGATCCATTTCTTTGCTGGGTGATGCCGGTGCACCAATTACTTCTTTTGAGGCTTAAAACATCTGATGCCCAAATCTTGCTATTTCAGTGGTTATTTAGCACCATTTCCACCTGTGACTTCCATCACCCTTTCTGCTCTGTGCTCTGTGCACTTGCAAGTGAAATCACTACAAATCAGAAATATTTGTTCTGCCTCAACATAGGTCTAGACAGATAACAACAGCCCTCCACTCCACCAGTGAAATATTCATTACTCAGCTGCAGAGATCGACTTCAGACCTTCTCCCTAGCCTTCCCCAAGGCAAAAGTCATGACCCTGAGGCTCCCCTTGTCCAAAGGGACTGCTGCCTCCCAGCCCCAAAACTGGTGGGATTACAGTCTGAGCATGCATAAATGCAAGTGCAGAATTTTCTCGGGGCTTCCTATTTCTTGTTAGCATATCTTTTCAACGAGTGCTTAATATTCAGAAGTGGTAGAGTAACTGTTTTCAACGAGCTCCACGAAACATAATAATACATGCAGCTTCCCCTGTTGAAATTTCTAGGCATTCTGCACAGCCTGGGCAGCACGCAAACAAAAAAACATAACTTCTCAACGTTATGCAGAAATTGCTGCACAAAATACCGCAGATTCCAGAGCCTACAGGAAACAAGGAGATTCAGAGGTTACATATATACACACATATATATATATATCATATGTATATATATAGAGGCAAAATGGGCACTGTTAGCTTTTTCTGTGCATTTTGAAAATGTAATAAAATGCATAAACTGTGATTTCTATGTATTTTTATGGATAGAAGTATTGCTATAGAAACAGAAGTGATGTTCTTCACAGCTCCACACTTAAAATTACTTTACTCCTTGTATCATTAAATGACAGTGGCTAATATCATGGCATCTTTCCCCGCTGACAGATGGGACTACCATGATTCGCTTTTCCCCTCAGCACCACGTGGCACTGAGTTTGTGAAAAGGTTCGCGCTCTGAGAGTAATTTCAGGTCTGTATACCATGGAGTTAATATGCAGCCTAGGTCATCAATATCCATTTATTTTCCTTTCCAGCATGCTTTTTCAGAGGGCCTTTCCCCCAAAAGGCACTTTTGTACTCAAAAAGGATCACCAGCTGTCGAAGTCTGTGCTGCACTTCATTTCCAAAGGTCGGGTCAGCCACGTGACGGCTCTCTGCAGCGCTGCTGATACCTCTGCCCTGGGTTTGGGGTTGTGATATAGGCACGGGCTGTAAAAGCTCTTTTTAAAAAGTTTGGTCCAGGCGAAGCTCTCAGTTTCAGCTAGCCTCTTGGCTCCTGAGTTACAGCAGACCTATGTTTTGCACATGGTTATACAAAATGCAGCATTCGAGGAGACAGCGCTATGACGTGGGCCAGTTCCCATGCCCCTGCATGCCCTCAACCAGTCATTTACAGTCCTTTCTCTCTTGGCCTTACGGTCCAAAGCAGAGATGGGGTCAGGGGATCCTTGAGGGATCTTTGGCTTTGCGAGAGGAGAAAACCGGCGGTGTTTGTGCAGGGTGCAAGGGAACTTCCCCAGCTGACAACCAGCGCGAGGACACACGTTAATATGTTGGCGCCGAGACCTGCCTGACACTGGAAATAAAAAGGTGACAATCTCGGTCCCTGTGACAAGTTCACGTGGATACCTGCGTCACGTGGGACACGCTACAGGCTCACCTCCGGCTGCAGCCAGCGGCTCTGCCTACCCTGGCCGTGACATATAGCTCCCCACTAGCACTTAAGGAAGGGGACGGCAGAGGCGGCACACTCA